GGGAATCGCGCCAACATACACCATCTCCCGTGTCGTTCTGTCCGATGCCGTGTGCCTCGTGCGCGGTGATCGCCACTACACCGTTGATTACAGCCCTCGCAACCTGACTAACTGGGGCTACAACGACGTGCAGTACGACCTGAACGTCAACCACGGCTGCGTCTTCTACAAGCTGTTCATTCGGGCGTTCCCGAACCACTTCAAGCACGACTCGGTCTACGCGCATTATCCCATGGTGGTGCCCTCGGAGACCGAGAAGATCCTGAAGGACCTGAAGCGTGATCACCTCTTCGACTTCACGCGGCCCACTCGTATCGCCCCCGACGTTGAGTGTGCCTCGTTGGAAGGAGCCCAGCGGGTGTTTGCCAACCCGGAGAAGTACAAGGCATCATGGCATGCTAATGTTGATGCTCTTGCTCCCAAGGGCAAGTCCAAACTCTCCGGCGACTCGACTCTCCACGACCGTCACCGTCGTGAGGTCAACCAGCCGTTGGCTACGGCGGATCTCGTGGCTCAGGTCAAGTCATTCTACAGCACGGTTACCGAGCAGCTACTTGGCTTCGAGAGCTACTCCCTCGGTGGTAACAGAATGATCGATGTCGTGCGTGATGTGGCCCACGTGGCGCCGACCCGTTTTGTCTCCGCCCTGTTCGGCCTTCCTCTCAAGTCCAAGAGCAACCTGAAGGGTATCTACACTGATCATGAGCTGTATGCTGTGCTCGCGACCATTGCTGAGGCGGTTTTCACCATCCCTGACCCTGTCAAGAAGTTCCCCTTGATCGAGGCAGCCAAGACAGTGGCGTCCCAGCTCGCGTCCTCGATCGAGGGCAAGGTCAAGAGCCCCAAGCCGGCAAAGAATGACGCTCTCAGCGCGTACGGCGTGGACCTGATCAAGGGGCTGTCCAAAGCCGGGTTGAACACCCACGACATCACCTGGGGCCACGTCCTCGCGGGCTGCGCCGCCATCGTGCCGTACCAGGCGAAGCTCGTACGTCTTTTCTCTCCGATCCCCTACGTCACCCTGCTAACATCATGACTAGTTCGCCGAGGCGGCCGATTTCTACCTCTCCCCGAAGGGCGCGGCCCACCTCGAGGCAATCCACTCCCTCGCCACCCAGCCCGCCTCGGAGCAGTCCGACGCCCTGTTGCTGGGGTATGCGCTCGAAGGCGTCCGCCTCTCTGGCTCCACCAAGCTTCACTTCGAGGCCACGGCCGCCGACTCCCTCCCCTCCGCGGATGGCAGCCAGATCCAAGTCCAAGCCGGCGATCGCATCACCGTCACCTCGGTAAGCAGCCCCCACCCCCTTTCCACCCCCACCACCACCACCCAAACCAACCAACCACTAACAAACCCCCCTCCCCACAGACCGCAGGCTCCGACACGGTCGACCCCTCGCGGCCGCGCGAGGGCTACGTGCACATCGCGGCTCTGCCCAACGTTTCCTTCTTCGGTACCGCCGGCGGGCGGGCGGTGAGCGAGGCGGCGCTGACCGAGATGTTCCGCGCCCTCTTCAAGCGGGCCAACCTGCGGCGCGCGGCGGGCGGCCAGGGCGAGCTCAAGCGCGTGGTGGGCGTCAGCGGGGTCGCGGGCGCCGTCGAGTACCTGCGCGAGGACTGGGGCGCCAAGGGCCAGTTCCCCGTTACCATGAAGGTGCGTTGGGATGATTGAATCGCTGCGAGGGGCGTGGGTGTGGGGAGGTGTGTGGCTTGGTGGGTGAAGTGATGGGGGGTGGTTGGGGTAATGTTGCGTCTTACGCTTGGATGAGATGATGCGAGGGGTTGATACCAGTGATTTGTCTTGTTTCTCTAGGTAGTTTTGTTGTGTGTTTCTGTTGGATAGTTTAATACCTGTCGAATTCACTATCCCTATACCACTCCTCGCTTGCCCCATTTATAGCCACTCGGCCTGTTCCAGCCCTTCCTGTTCAGTGGTGCCACAACTAAGGCTGTGATCCTCGACTCCCATGGAATCGGTCTACCCTCTTGATAACTGTTCAGGGGGTCGATATCAGGTTGGTCTTTCCCCCTGTCTAATCCGCGTCAGCAGCCACTGCAGTTGCGAATCGTCGGCGGTTCACGACGCCACGGCTCATGGGCAGGCAGTACACGTGTGCTCGTTCGCTTCACTGCCGCATCTGACACAGCCTACCTGTCCCTTCTCAGGCTAGCGTGATTTTCAGCTGGAAATCCGTCGGGCTCAAAACCCGATATCCTGCCACCAGGTAGGTTATCGCTCTTCACTCCAGTTTCATCTATGTCTGGTCATTCCTGATATTAACATCAACCCTCCTGAACATGTCATTCGGCTGGAGCGCGAGTGATGTCGTTGCAGCCCTCGAGTTGCTCAACAAGGTCCGCATCGCGCTGAATGACTGTGGCGGAGCCTCGTCCGAGTACCAGGCGGAGTGTTCGTTTCTACAGACGCTGTCCATCACGCTGGGGCACCTAAAGACCTTGAAAGCCGCGCCGCTTGAACCTGGCATTTCTGAAAATATCTCAGAGCTGCTTGGCCAGATCGAGCAGCCGGTGCGACGATTCCTGGATGACATAGAGCGGACGTTTGGGAGTTCGTTAGGAGTGTCTTCGACAAGACGCAAGTTGCTCACGGCCCCAAGGAAGATACAATGGGCACTAGTCGTCGCAGACCGGGCCAAGGTCCTGCGGGAGAAAATAGGGGTGCCCCTCTCGGCTATTCTAGCTGCTATGTCGCAGCAAATCATGTATGTCACTGGTCTCGTAGCCGTCGTTCTATGCTCCGTGCTTTCTTTCGTCGCCTTGCGGTCGGGAACGAACGATGGTCCTCTTGTGCGTCGATCGACAGAGCTTTCGGGGCCTAACATTCAAGCAGCCAGACGTCTCTTCAGATGCCTGTCGACATACAATCCAGGCTAGTTGATTCGATCGACAGCGCCGTTGACTCCAAGCTCCGTCCTTCTTTTGAAGCCGTGGGCAGTGAAGTCGCTGCTCTCTCACGCCAGTACCACGTTTCTTCAAGCCAAATTCTTGACAGCATCAGCACATTAAAGGAAACAACTCTTGAGGCGTTCAGCAAGCAACATGCGAAAACATGTGAGGGTGCCATAGAGTTGTTAGGAGAGCTCGACAAAGCCATATCGACTCGGCAGGCGTCTATTATCGACACACAACAGAAGATATATAACCGCGTCCAAATGACAGCCGCATCAACCGAAAGAGAACTACGTGCCTCGACGGAAGCAACCCAGAACAGCATACGGGTTTTGCATCAACACACAACTGACAGTTTCCGAATTCAAGACGCAAGGAACCGCGCTTGTGCTGCTACCTTGCACAGCAAGCTTGACCATATGAACTCTTTGCTCGGACTGATGGGGGATTTCATGAGAAATATGTCCGGCACTCAAGGGAGCTCAGACCTCGTACTAGCCGACCAGGGACTTACGCAGGCTTTCCAAACGGCGGTGCGTAGTCTCTGGGTCCTAGTATTAAGCTTGCAATCCCTGGTAAAGGAGCTGATGTATGTGTCCCCGTCAGCATGGCTTACCACCGCAGACTAATGTCCCGCAGGTTCTTCCTGGCTCCATACTTGATTTGCTATTGGCGGACAATGCTGCGGTGTCTCCGGCAGTGCTCTATTCCCCAGCGTCTCCTCACCTCGCTTGGTAATGGTGTCGGCTTCGAGGATGCTATTGGCCGGTACAGCATTTTGCCCTTTGACTACATCCGAACGTGGGAGGTTAGTACACCACCCGCTACGTACCTTAATAATAGCACGGAATTTACTCACTCCTCCACCAGGGTTTCAACCGTACTCTGCAATGCTGGTTTCATGGGTTTCCTGGGGAGCACAACGTCAAGGCTGGTCTATACCTGATTCTCAACACCAGGAGACCTGACCAAGTCATCACGAAGCAGCTTTGGGAACAACTCGTCACTCCAGGGGCGAACATCAACATGTCCATGATTGTTAGGCGAATAACTCCGTCCTCTCAGGCTTGTCCTCGATGCAATAGCAAGTCGAGGGGTAAAAGATTTGGCATGACTTCCATTTGGTTCGTGAGACCGTTTTCTACGCGTCGTCGGCATTTCGTTGCTAATGTTCCTCTGGTCCAGCACCAGCTGCAGCTTGCAGTACAACAGTGCTTCCGCAGCTGCTGTTTCTGTGGGAGAAGAAAACGATGCCGAGATTTCAACCTTTTTGGGAGATATTCGGAGGCGTAAGCACAGCAGCGCTCCAGCAATGGAAAAAGTGAAAAGCACCAACGCACCTGTCAAGCGGATTGCCATGTTCCAGGGACCCTCGGACGACTCGAATAAGGAGGAGCCTGTGCGGGCTGATAATGAAAAGGACCTCGAAGCATTTAAGCGCGTCCACATGCTCACCGGACAAGAGATATCGTCGCTGCAAGGTTCGGCGACACGAGGTCCTGGCATTGTGGTCTATGATACCTGGACCAGTAACGAGTATGACAGGAGAGGGGACATAGGTGCCACTTGCAACCGCTTGAGTCACGTTTTAGCCCAGCACATAAAGGAAGAGCTGAACACCTTCAAGATGGTTAGCCCTGCCTGCTTCCTGTTTGTTTCGCACCTGCATCTACTAATTCTGGTTTCAGGAGATGGAAGTCCATGAGGACTCGAAGATTTACACGCACTTTTTCTAGCCGTGGCCGTGGCGACTCGGGTTAAAGGGGCCGTCAGAATACTCGAGCATCTCGTTTCACCATAGACTATCCGACCACCCTCCGGTCATTCTTGGGAGCACGGGGCCAATGTCGTGAATGGGGAGACCGGGATTAGGTACGTCGCGAGATACCCAGAAAATGTCTTCGGCACGTAACCCAAGCCGGGCCTACAGCCCCCAGCTCCATGTTTTCGGGGTACCCACAATTCCCACAATAGCGACAGTTTCTTGTCTTCGCTGTTGTTCAAGAGGCGGTTTCCTGTATTTACACATGTAGCTACCAGTTCTGGACGCTTTTGAGAAAAACATAAAAGTTTCTGGGCAAAAGCAAAAGGAGAGGTCCTACCCGGACTCGAACCGGGGTCGCCGGAAAGACTTGTGAGGGTCAGAATCCGAAGTGATAACCAACTACACTATAGAACCGTGAACTTTGGTTGGTTATTCGTCAATCAACTTGCCCCTTATCAAGTTCCACCAACCATCTCCACGGATTCTCCTGCCTCCTTCGTGGCACCCCCCGGATCCCCATGATCCTCAAAGTCCCCGTGCATGACCCATTGTACCATTCCAAGGGAATTCCAGGTGAGAAATGCATCTCCGCGGGCCGTGGCCACGAATTAGTCAAATAAACGGTAATCCAAGTTCAAGGCACCAATAATGGGTATTATAACATGTTGAAGACGTCATTCCAAACATTTTGATCCCTCCTCTCATATCTCGCTTTTCAGCAATCTGTCCTGTGTGTCCTTCCCGGGGGTCCGCATTCTAAAAAAGGTCTACCACATGTCTACCTCGCCGCTGCACTCTTCATCCCCGACTCCTCGAGGATATCTCCCGGCTTCTCCTGGTTCTCAGCGCGGGCAGTCAGTCCTCTTTCCACGCGCCCGGCACCCTCTGCAAAGCAGCCTCCGGGTCCACACTGGCAGGCTGGCACGAAGGTGTCTCAGCAATGTCTGACGACTCGCGGTCTTGTTTGTCCTCTACAGACCTTTCCGGTTGTCTCGACGGTGGCGGAACCTCGACATCGCCTGTGTCCTCTCTATCATGATCCATATCTCCGGCTGTAGAATTTCGCCCTCCGCCCACCTGCGCACCTCCTTTACCATCCGCGGTGGAATCATCACCCACCCCACCATTCGGCTGTAGCTTTGCGCCAGGGCATTCGATGCGTCCGTCGTCATCACGAGCGATCTCATTCGCGGGAGGCCCCGAATCGCCAGAGGCCGCCGCAACCGAAGGAATGGGCGTGGAGCCGACCCCGAGGGTTTGCCCTCCCGCCTCGGCTGCAGTCACCAAAGCACCCGGGTCCGCACGCCCTCCGCCGACTCGACTTAAGTCCCCCGTGCCGCCAGTTACGGATAAGTCCGGATTCTCCTGCAGTGATCCTCTCTGGGTCGGGTCATCGTCTGTCCGATCTGGCCCCGGAGTGCATTCTTCTCTGTTCGGGGTAGCACCCGCCAGATCTTCTACCCTCGATGTTTCCGTAGAAGGTGCTCCCGCTTGGGACACGGCGCCAGTTGGGTCGTTACCACCCGGCAGTTCAGTAACTGTGGGATTGGTCGGGTTCGAGTCCTTCTCTACCGTTCCTTGAGCTTCGTCAATACTGGCGTTTGGTGGAAGGTCCAGGACGGCGGGGACTCCGTCCGCCGGAGCATGGTGGTCCATCTCCGGAGCATCTTGGAGTCCATCGCCCGCCGGGGAATCGCCATGCCGACTTTCGGGAGGTGAGAAGTTGCCGCTGGAACCTCTCCCGGGTTGCTCTACGTCGATCTGTGGCGGACGGGAAGAGTTATCTTGCGGCGGTGATCCATCGGGCGGAACAGGTTCGCCCTCCCGGGGGAGGTTTCCCTTCGACGGCGGCTCGGCCCTTTGTTGTTGATGCGCGGACTTCCTCATATCAACCTTCGGCCGATCCAAAGGCTCTTGGGAATGCTCGTGGTGCTTCGCAGGGGAGTCAGAATTCTCTCCCCCTGCTTGAACGAGGGAAGGGTTAAGATTACTACTACTCCTTTCGCCATTGCTGCTCCGGGCAGAGGGCGCGGCTCCTGAGTTTGTACCATCCGCAACAAGCAGTGGATTGGGAATGCTCGTTGGGGTACTGGTGGAATGCTTCAAGTCCTTAGCCGCTGGATGCGTACGATTCTCAACAGGCTTTCGGGCGATTGTTGACGTCCCGGTGGGATGCTTCAAGTCCTTGATTCCTTCCTTTTGCTTCAGTGTATGTGGTGCGGCTGGCTTCTGTGGGGTGCAGTGCACGGGAATCGTTAGCAGTCCAATGGCCTGGATTTGTTTCCCCGGCAGACTGCTGGGTAATGCCCCCCGGGTTTTATTGTCGTTTTTCTGCGCCGCCATTTCCCTCTGGTCCTGGGAGCTCGCCAACGTCATACTTTGGCCGGGCTGAACATTGGATGGGTCTTGCCTGTTGATTACAGGGGCGCTCTTTCCGGGTGGTGTGTCAGCGGTGTTGGATGTTTGAGGGGACCCTTGTGCTTCGTTTGAGTCTGACGGGCTCCCGGTGTATTGCTTTTGGACCGGTTCCGCCCAGACTTCCGCCTTGGGGTCAAGCCTCTGATGACCCAGATCGAAATGGTCTCCTCCGTTGTTGCCCTGCTTGTACAAGGTTGGAGTGAGGAAGAATCTGACGGTGAGATCTGACGGATCGACTTGCGACCAAGGGACATGATTTCGATTCTCCATCGTTGCCGGGTCGAACTTCACGGTGGATGCACGGTCAAGTTGTAGGGCTGACATTCCGGGCAAGATGACGGACCAACGGGGCCTCTGCTGCCGCAAAAGTCGAGAGAGTCCAATGGCGTCAATAACAATCTCCTCGAGGGACTCAATTCCCCCGTCGCCAGCGTCCCAAAACTGAAAGATCTCGCGAATCCGGCCAATGACGGCCCGTAGCTCCCCGTCCTGGACGCTGCTCCCCAATCTGTCAGGCTGCCCCCTTGAAAGAAGATCTGCCGTGATGGCTCTCCATTCGTTGTACTCCTTGTGTGTGACGTCGTCCTTGCGTGTGGCGGACTTCGAGACTGGGAACCGTGTAAGCGGAAGTAGGACAGTACGGCACGCCAGGGCCACACTACAGACCTTTATTGTAGATGCGCGTCTCGAGTGTGGAAAACGCACCCCTCACTTCCTCTTCTAGCCAGTAATCCCGACCAACATCGACAGGCGCGTCTTCCAAGCCGAAGCTCGGGAAGACGCGGGCGCAAAGGAATTGAGCAACTAGATCGCGGGCGAAAAGCTGCCTCGTTGTGGTGCTTTTCAGGATGGTCGTAATCTCTTCTCTGCTCTCCGAGTGGAAGAAGTGGCGCCGTAGGACTGCAGTTATCTCCTCGGACAGGCATTCCGGGATTCCTTCGAGACTGTACCTCTGCGACCAGTGGGAGATTCGGTCAAAAAGCCTACTGAAGTGGTCCTGGATGGCCTTGTCGCTCGCCAGCCGCATACCTAGAAAGAGGTTGGCATCGTCCAGCTGTCTCTCCCTCCTGTCGTTGAGCTCTTTTCGCCGCCCAGCCTCCTGTTGGACCTTGACGAGCCAGTCTTCTGCATCTTGCTCTTTTTGTATCAGCACCTGTTCTCTCCGGCAGATTTCCTCTTTTATCTCTTGCTCTTTCCGTATCAGCACCTGTTCTCTCTGGTCGAGTTCCTCTTGTATCTTGCGTAGTCGCCCTTCTATCTCGTCGACTTCCTGCACTTTCCTTGAAAATTGTTGTTGCTTTTCTTGGTCGCTTTTTATTTTTCGACTGAAAATGGCCCGTGTGAATTTCCCCGACTTGTCTCGCTTGGACACATGGGGAGTGGAAGGAGCTGGACTTATCGGGGGTTGGTCTGGCGCAGTAAGTTCATACTGGGGGTACGCTAGTTGAGTTTCATGCCGTTTCGTGGCTCCTTGCTCTACTGTCGGCAGACCGGTGTGATGAGCGCGGTACTGCACGCCTGTGTGCGCCTCCGGAGACAGGGAACTTGAAGCCATGAAGACTAGGCCAAATTGGACTGATGGTAGAGCAGGTTCGCTTAGAGAGCTTCTTTCCTGGCGGCTCTCAACCATGACGGGGAGAAAGAAGGAAACATGAAGGAGACCAAACGGCGGCGGCTCTGAGTCTGACATCCTAGTCAATGTCGTTGGGTACATGTAAGTACCACGAAACAATACGAACAAGTTGGGCAGCCAGCGGCGCATGCGCTATTGGCTTAGACCGGTGTTTACCATGCAGCTGCAGCCATTCCGCAGCTAGACGGAGACATTGGGCTCCGTCGGGACTCCATCCATAGAACAAAATGCCAAGTGGTTTGGCTCAGACACTTGATTTCAAACTAGGTAATTCGCGGATTTCCAGGATCCGCCTCTGAATTCCACACCCACAGGATGGTGTGGGAAAAAGAAACCCATAAAGTGGAACAACAGTATGATCTATAGGATGTTACCTTAACCACTGCCACCCAAGATGCCAGTTCAACATACGATTAGCGGCGGGATACCCAGAACAGCGAGGATGATGTCGAGTACAAGCCCTGCTATAGGAATGACAAAGGGCGCCGCTTTCGCCATCATGGCGCGCATCCGCTGGGCCGTCGTGGCCTCCTCGACTTCCTGAACGATGAGTCGATCGAGCCCCGCTTCTCCCTCCTTCAGGTCCCGCAGCTTTCTCTCACCCCTCTCGAGCTCCCTGTCCTCCACAATGGCTTGCTTCTGAAATGTGCTTCCAAGAGTCCCTGAAACCGTCCACTTCGACGGCCTCCTGACGCGCGCTTCGTAACGGCGGCGCTGGATTTCTAGTCCCTCATAAACATACAATCCCGCCGCAGTATCCTTCAGCTTCTTCCGCTCCTTGACGAGTTCGATCTGGAGCTCGAGGGTTACGGGCGTCTTGCTCAGCAGCTGGCTGATCAGCACAACCGCCGATCCCCGACCGCCATAGAACCTATTCATGCTCGAGCCCCTGTCGAGCAGGTACGGCCAGAACATGCTCCGCAGCTGTGCCTCCCTGCGCGAGCCCTGGTCCTCATTCTCGCTCGACCACATTGTTGTCACTAGCATAACGTTGCGCAGGGCGGCATCTCCGCAGACGCGCTTCAGGATCTCAAAGGTCCGAACATCCGAGCCACCGTACCTGCCGTCCGTGATGCGGTGCATGTAGATGATACCACTCAGAGGGACGCCAAGCTTGTACGTGACAGCCAGGATACTGGATATGTCGCCAAGAATGTCGGTATCGGGGCGCTGCGTGTCATCGAAGCCCGGGGTGTCGATGAGCAGGACTGGCGTGCGACCAAGCTCCAGCAGGATAGGCTGGCACTTTTCGGTGCCTGATTACTGTGTCAATAAAAATGGAAACGTTGGGCAGCGGCCGGTCCGTCATGTCCACACTCACACGACTGAAGGCCTTCTCCCTCCCTTGTCACAATGCGCCCCG